TTAAAGTGGGAATTTTCTACTACAAGCAAAAACGAAAAGAAGGATTTCAACCAATAACCCGTGACATACACATTTCCACTGAAACCAGTATGAACAAAGAGACATAAAGGAGGTTATTTTTCCTTTGTTACAACTGCTAATCATAAAGTATGCTTAGTTTTACTTCAAGTAATTAATCCCTATTGATGGAACCTAAGATCATTGTGAAGAAAACGCGAAACTATAACCAATTCCCCCTTCTGCAGACAATACCAAAAAGTGTTATCTGCTTACCGAGAAAAACAATGAACGATAGAAGAAGATAAATTTCAAGCTCGAGGTTCGGCATTCTAGCTTGCTACCTTTATTGGAACACGATCCGCACTTGACGTCGTTCTTAGAGGTTTTCATCTTCTTCAAGGAAACAGCAACTCTCCTCCTACACAAATCTAAGCCAGCACCACTTTTTTTGTCAGTTTTAGCAGAACCAACTGATTTTATCACGCGACGAGCCCTAGCCCCAACTTTCTTTCGCAAAATTTTGGACCTAGATTGACACTCACTTTTGCAAGTGGAACCAGAACTCGAAAACCTGAAGATCGCATCTCCATTTTCACAGTTACTCACACAGGCAGATTCGATAGAGGTAGTTTTGATCGGAGGAGTCTGGGGTTCTTCGGGAGCTTGTTTTTCTCTATGAAAAGCATTATCTGTCAGGTTGGCGACGGCGCGATCAGCATTGGGGCCAAGGAAGTGCTTAGCGAGGAACCCCGTAGATCCTGCTACTGCAGCTGCTAAGAGAGCTTGCCACATCCAAGATCAATAGAGAAGGAAACCACAGCGTCTTTTTTGCAGGGGGCAAGAGAAAGAGGAGAGTAAGGTGGGAGACGAGACGAAGACGAAGGCTCCTTCACATGGCTTTTCCCGCTTTGCACCAATTTCCAATTTTTTGCGATGTTAATTGTTATTCTGCGGGTTGCGTCAACGTGGTATCTTACGCTACGGTGTCGTTTTTGGATTTTAGAAAATAAATTATAGGAAACTTTGTTATTATCTCAAAATTCAAAGAATGTTCAATTAAGGAAGTGGGTAGGTTGATTTACAGCTAGTTACAGCTTGCATACTAAATATATATATATATATATATATATATATTTTTTTTTTTTTTTTTGTAAAGGATTGCAAGAATGAATTCCACCATTGCCAATTCACATTCATCAGGGAAACAAGAAAATTTATCTCATCCTAATTACATACTTATTTACTTTACATATGTTTTTTTTTACGTGTAAATACTTTTTAATTTTTATATTATTTTATTTTATTTTTATAAAATTACTTTTAACAAAAAAGTTTAAAAAAATAAAAATTAATAACTCTCTTCTCCCTCCTAGGGCTTTGACCTGTCTTTTTCCTTAAAACTCGTACCAACTAGATAGAATGTCAACCTACACCCGGTTTTCTCTTTCTTATCT